CCTCTGAGTTACAGCATCATAGTGATGAAGAGTAGAGCTGGGTCACCTTCATCACCTCCGAGTTACAGCATCATAGTGATGAAGAGTAGAGCTGCATCACATGCTCTGACTGTCATGAAGACACAACACACACATGTAGATGAAACGTCTGAAACATGTTGTTCCTGTTGCACAGCAGTGGAACGTTTCACACACAGTCACACACTGAGCACAGATAGTGAAGAGAACACTGCTGCTAACAACAACCTTATTGGTTTAAAGTGTTTAAACCAAATGTTATTGACCTTTAGTTCATATAGCAGTACTTTAAAATAAAAGTGCGCAATACACTACTTTGAATTCATTATTGAACTTTGCCATAACAATGAGATTAATCGCAAAAAAATCATGCGACTATTCGCGATACAAAATTTGAATCGTTGCCCAGCACAAATATAGTATATATATATATATATATATATATTAGTGCTGGGCAAGTTAACGCGTTATTATCGCGTTAACGCATTCATTAATTAACGCCGACAATTATTTTGTAGCGAGTTAACGCATTTTTAAATTTTGTTTTATTTTGAAAGTCCGTTGCTCACTGGCAGCGGTGGAGGAATGGAGACTACTGGACATCGCTGCGGTAAAGTCAGCAGACACTCAGATCTCAGCGTCAACTCAGCAGACACTGACATGTTAGTGCACCTATATGCTGACATTCACGGTAAACGCATTTAAACGGCACAGATCGGGAGCGAGCAAAGGACTTTGAAAGTTAGCGGAAAGATTAACGTGAGACAACATCTGGTTTCTTCAGATGAACATCCGGTTTTCAGAATAAGATGCCAACAAAGTATGACTTATAGTCACATTAAGTATAAAACATGCTGCAACTCGTGAGTTAAAGGGAAAATACACCTAAATTGTGGGTAAAGTGTCTTTATTCTTTCATCGCTGGGTCACCATCATTACCTCGGAGTTACAGCATCATATTGATGAACAGTAGAGCTGCATTCACATGCTCTGACTGTCATGAAGACACAAGACACACATTTTTTCTGAAACGTGCTGAAACATTTTATTCCTGTTGCACAGCAGTGGAACGTCACACACTGAGCACAGATAGTGAAGAGATAGAACTGCTGCTGTGTAAAGGGAATACTGCTGTTAAAAATAACCTGATTTGTTTAAAGTGTTTGCAAACCAAATGTTATTGACCTTTTGTTCATATAGCAGTACTTTTAAAATAAAAGTGCGCAATACACTACTTTTGAATTCATTATTGAACTTTGCCATAACAATGCGATTAATCGCAAAACATCCATGCGATTAATCGCGATTAAATATTTTAATCGTTGCCCAGCACTAATATATATATATCTATATAATATATGTTATACATATATGTATATATAGTATATGTATGTATGATAAGTATGTCCTTATGTTGGACACACTATCTGTGGGTCTCTGGACTCCACATCAGATCCTGGAGGGCAGCTATTTTGTTAAAGCTTGTCTCACACACACACAAACGGCAGCCTACGTCTGGTGTCTGGAAAGATTTAGCAGCCGTGGGAAGCAGGAAAGTTCTTGTGGTCTGCAGAGTTCATTACTGAGCAGAAATGTGAGCCACCCATGAGTCCAAGACCTGAAATATGTGGAGTCACTGTGGAGACCACCAGAGACAACCTCAAACCCTCAAACCAAAGACTGATCACCACACGATCAATAACACTTTCAGTTACAGATGTTCACATGCGGGTTGTGTTTCCTGGACAACTTGAAGAGCTTCGGTCATCATACTAAACAATGTTGACCGATCAGTAAACTGTGCTAAGGATTACAAAACCAGCAGAGCAACGTCACCTGTACAACCAGAAACCAGCAGAACAACATCATGTTGGGCGTATTTTTTGACGTGCCAGAGCCTGCTAGCTGGCCTACAAGTACGTGATTGGTCAGTGGGCTAGCGTGACATTTTGGGTGGTGACAATCCCAATATCTGCTGCCTCTGTCGAGCGGACATTTTCAGCCTCAAACGCATTAAAATCTATTCAAGAAATACAACTGGGGAGGCTCGACTGTCTTCACTGGCATCCATGAATCCAGAAGGACTTCTTACTGGAACTAAAACACATGGTTAATGCTGGGCGGTATGACCAAAAATTTGTTTCACGGTATTATTTTTCTCCTTGACTGTGTCTTCATCTATAAAGGCTTTGCTTACTAGAGGGTGTGCTCGTTTGTTCCTATAATGTTGGGATAGCAGTTTGGCTGAAGTATTGTTGCCCCGGTCAGACGTACCTTGAATCCAGTATTTTAATCATTGCTCTGAGTCTTTCTCGACTGTCGGTAGCGGGACCAGGTCCTTGCAGAGCTGGATCATTATTGTGTTCGTAATGCCGTGCTTCGAGCTAATGCCTCTTCAAGCGATGTCTGACCCTTTGGCTTCACTGTTTCACTCGCGCTAACGTTACTGGTTCCGACGGCCGTCAACACACTCTTGGTATTCCAACACATGTTTTCTGCTGAGGCGATGGAGTAACTTGCTCGTGTTACCACCAGCGTCAACAGAAGTTGCTCGACACACTTTGCAATATATAGTCTTTTGGACGTCGGATTTTTTAAAACCCAAAAAACGTCCAAACAGCGGAGACAGCTCCTCTCTTGGGCACAGACTCTATCGGTGCATCTCCGTTCTGTCTTTGTTCATCCTGCATCGCTCTGTTCTGTTCTTTAATGTAGCGTTACTGTAGCGACGGAGCCTCTCCCAGCTGTCAGCAGACTGTTGTGCTAGCTAGCTAGCTGTACCCAGCATGCCGTTCGGCGGTGTAATTTTATAAATGTACAAATATTAGTGTTACAAATTGTTGTGTCGTGGTGTTTTGTCCTGTTAAAGAGGGTTAGTTGTGGGTTATTAATTGTTGTTATAAAGTTTTAACCATGACTAGAGGTCCCTCTCAATACACTCTACACAACTAGCTCCGACCAAAGCGCCTTTAGCGGCGAACAATATACTTAGCTGCCTGTTGAAGAGTGACAGCAGTTGTTTCTGTGCACCGGTATGACGGTGTGTGAAGAATGAATATCATACGGGAAATTAAAACCGGTATACCGGTTCATCTGTTATACCAGTTCATCCGGTATACTGGCACTACGCACGGATGTACTGAACAACCGTGAGATTAAACTCTTTATTAACAAAGAAAGGAGGATGGACTTTGTCTTTAAATAGTGAACAGCAGCTCTGGTAAGTAAACTGTTTTTGTTTTTACATCTGCAGTAGCTTTAAGATGCTTGTTTATATATTGTTATTTGTACAACTTGTTTTTATGAAGATGGATTTTTGTTTGGCTTTATATGTGATAGGAACTATTGTTACGTCCAATGTTGCTCTGGGGACACATTTAGCCGGTGCACAGCAACAAGAAGACACGTGAAGCGGCAGAAGTCTATATGCTCCACGCAAAGTGTTAAAGTGTTAAAGTGTTTAAGTTAAAGTGTTTAAGTTAAGTTTAATTTAAAGTGTTTAAGTTAAAGTGTTGAAGTTAAATTTAAGTGTTAAAGTTAAGTTTAAGTGTTTAAGTGATCATCTTTATAGATTTATGTGTTTTCAAGTGGACTCATTTTCCCTCTCGTGTTGACAGATGAATAAATGCGTCAGGAACAAGAGCTATGGTGTCGATTATTTGCTGGAGGGAGTGATCGGAGCGTTACTACTGTGTGCATCTGTCTCTGGTGTTGTTTTTATGACATGGTTAATATTGTTCCCTCTGATGTGAGTAATATCTGAATGGCCCGTGCTCTTCAGTGTGCGGTGGAATACGTGTTTTAGCAGTGTTGCTGAATTGATTTTGACTTTATGCATTGTCCGTTAATGACGCAGCATCCCGTCATGTATTCATGTAACGTTATCTGCACTCTGCAGTTAGTGTATTTATAGGTGTTGAGCTTAATTTTTACACAAAACAAATAATAACCGTATCTGTGGCATCATGATGAGGTTATTAGGAGGCGGTTCAGCTGCAGGACAGCAGTGGAGGCCCGCCACTAACTTTGGATGACTTCATCACCACATGTGGGCGCAGTAATGAGGCTTCCACATGCTCACAGTCAACTCACCACATTTCCTGCAGTCGTCCTGCTTTTGAAAAATAATTTCAAAATCTAAATAAAGTTTTATGTTACTTCTCAGACTCATCATTAGCTGACAATATAAAACCTCAAACTAAAGATCCTGATCAGCACAACTGATCCAACACCCAAACAGAGGAACTGGGTTTGTTAAAGTCATTAATGAAAAGCAGCCACAACCTCAGAGACCTCATCGCTGGAGATCAAGAGACAATATTTATTACCAATGAGGACAGACGAGCCACCCAATCCGCCCAGCAACAGGCAACACCGTCAGACTAAATATCTGATCCTCTGACTGGGAGAAGAGAAGTGAGTCAGCGTTTCATCATGTGGGGAAGGTCTGATGTCTTTCTGAATGTATGTCAATGTGTTTTTCCAGGAAAATGAAAATCGCTGAGTCTCATTACAAAGATAAAAGTGGTTACATTTCCCAGGAACAGATGAACAAGCTGCTTCTGGTTCTGACATCAAACATTAAACTAGGACCAGGACTCAAACATAATCCGGTCACAGATCCAGTTTGTCTGAACAGTGATCCAGATGTTTGTCAATTTCCAACAAAGCTTCACCTCCAGGATCCAGGTGTCTACATCTGAGAGTTCAGAGCTGTAATATGACCAACAAGACGAGAGACGTTTTCACACCTGCCTCTTTACTTTGGTTGAAGCGACCCCTGTTGGTAGGTTTGTTTCGACAGATGTGAAAACAGCAATCCTACTTTGGTGCGGACCAAAACAACCGGACCAAGACCTTGTTGAAGAGCTGGTCTCGGTCCGGTTACAGACGAACTCCGGTACGGGTCGTCAGGACAACTGAAACTCTGTAAGAAGTCGATACTGTTTTTTCTACATGACCAAGAGTACCGTAGGTACCTGGATCAGGACTCGAGCCCAACCAAGATGTCTCTGAGTGGTAATGCTAAATTGTGAACAACGTTAGCTGCTAGCTGTTAGCAACAGGTGGGCAGCACAGTCCTGCTTGGATAAATAACGGAGCTAACGGCTAACGTAGAATTGAGTTACATTATGATGCGTTCAAGTTCTAGCATTATAACATTATGACGACGTGTTCAAATGTAATCCTGTTAAATTGAGGTTTTCATCAGGAATTATTAATAAACCTGCCGTGTGCAAACAGTTATAAAGCATTTCGTTTGTTGAAGTGCACAAGAGTTATTGTTTGGTTTTGTGTTTTTAACGTGGTCTTGAAGTGGGCATCGAGACTCGTGGAGCAGATGATCCGATCTCCATCCAACCCAACTGAAGCTAATGCTAACACTGTTCATAAAACAGGAGAAAACAGAGACGTGGAAATACGCTTCAGCGTGAGGAACGTCATCAGAGTTCTTACGTTTCTGTAGACGAACACTCGCAGTTTGAGGCCTCCCAAAGTCTCCAGCTCCTGACCGTGATACAGAGACTTAGAGGACAGCTGCTCCTTCAGGATGTGATTCGTCATCAGCTTCTTCAAGTCAGGTGTCATCGTCGTGTCACTTCCTGTTACAGAGACACAGACGGGTAAATACCGTAAGACGAGGACGACGACTGAGGGACGTACAACTAACAAAGAACAAAAACCTTTTGTGAGACGGACCTGACCGGTCAGGAGCGTTACCTTTGAAGGCGTCATCCAGAGGAGCCAGCAGGGTCAGAGCCTCAGAGCCCGTCAGGTGGGAGGACAGGCCGGCCCCAACCAACAGCGTGCTCGCCGTGGCAACAGATGAACCCTCAGCCAGCTCCAGCAGAACTTTGGCTGAAAAAGAACAAGTGGAATAGTACTGCGAGTACTTCTACTGCTACCACAACTATTACTGACAGAGGATGTATTGTTTTGTACTGCAGTACTTCTGTAGTTTGAGGTACTCTCAGCGTTAGATGCAGTATTAGCAGTATCAGTAGTATCAGTAGTATTAGCAGTATCAGTAGTATTAGTAGTATCAGTAGTATTAGTAGTATCAGTAGTATTAGTAGTATTAGCAGCATTAGTAGTATTAGCAGTATTAGTAGTATCAGTAGTATTAGTAGTATTAGCAGCATCAGTAGTATTAGTAGTATCAGCAGTATTAGTAGTACTAATACTGCTGCAGTAGCTTGCAGTAGCCTGCGAGTAGCTTGTGCAGCACAGTGACATGGCGAATGTGCTGCAGTTTGACAACAGAACTCTATGTGTTGAATGCAGTATTAGCTTGAGTGTGTGCTGCAGTAGTGGTTGTGTTAGCAGTAGTGGTGGTGTTAGCAGTAGTGGTTGTGTTAGCAGTAGTGGTTGTGTTAGCAGTAGTGGTTGTGTTAGCAGTAGTGGTGGTGTTAGCAGTAGTGGTTGTGTTAGCAGTAGTGGTTGTGTTAGCAGTAGTGGTTGTGTTAGCAGTAGTGGTTGTGTTAGCAGTCGGGGTTGTGTTAGCAGTCGGGGTTGTGTTAGCAGTCGGGGTTGTGTTAGCAGCAGTAGTGGTTGCGTTAGCAGCAGTAGTGGTGGTGTTAGCAGCAGTAGTGGTGGTGTTAGCAGTAGTGGTGGTGGTGTTAGCAGTAGTGGTTGTGTTAGCAGTAGTGGTGGTGTTAGCAGTAGGGGTTGTGTTAGCAGTAGTGGTTGTGTTAGCAGTAGTGGT